GTGAATCATGAGCGAGGCCACTCGGGACCACTACCGAAGCGACGACGGCTCCTGCAGAGAACGTAGACAGAACCGGCGCTGCATTCGATCAACTAACCGCGTGCTTACATACTAAGTCTATTTATTTCAGGTGATGGGTTTGTAATTTTATCCTAGTGCTTTCCTTTCACTTATAAACGTCTACCTGCACTCTCTTCTATAAACTTGCACACGTCGCTTAAGTCAATTGTAGTTAATTTCGATAACATTTTCGCGTTTGTGGTATTTCCTTAAAATATGTTCTATGACCTCTTGAACTTATTGCGGATACGTTCGTAATCATCTTTGTACCCTTATTTAGTGAGGGGTTATATCTCCGTATTTTTTGCATTATCTGATTTATTTTCATTCATCTTGTTATTTCGAGTGATTGGCTGTTGCTTGATATCCCCGGTGTTGCTGCGATTGATGTGTATGTTGACAAGCTGCCTACCAGTCTATTACCCACTACCTTATCCAACTGGCTTTAGGAGACAGGTGGTCGTTGCTGGAGGAGAGGGGGGCAAGGTCCTTGTGGCTGTGCTAGGCTCGAAGAGTGGTTCCATGCACTCAGTATGGAGCGGTCTGCGGTCCAGCCACCGCATTGTGTGCACTTGATTTCCCAAGTACAGCGTGCTTGTGTTTGCCTGTGAAGGAGTGTGGGCCGGCTCCAAAGATGAAACGTGGCTCCCAACCACATGCCTCCCGGTCTTATATATATATATATATATATATATATATATATCTATATCTATGTATATATATGTATATATATGTATATATATATGTATATATATATGCATATATATATATATATCACATTGTTCAGTCACAATTCGAGACATTAGAGCACCCTCCACAGACTACATCATGGGGTTATTTAACAACAACTTGCTGACAAAACAATTTAATCACAGCAAAGTCTACAATGAAGAGAAAAATAAGCTCTGAGTTAAATGATACATAGTATTGGTGCAATCCTATTTTCGTTTAGACGACAAAGTAATCATACTTCAGTGTGTATGTTCAAGGTTATACAGGGTTTCTTGACAAAACTCTACGTCTTCTTTCTACCGAGGAAGCTCTCTTGCGAAATCTGACTTCTCAGTGAAACCACAGTTTCACCATTCGGCAAAAAGCACTGGGAATAGCAGCAAGAACTGGTAGAAACTTTAGTCCACATCTTTCAGTGCTGCTTAGACCAGAACCACACTTTTGTTATGCGGAAGAAGATATCATGCTCACTTTATGCGCTAGTGGCTATCCTGAGAAATGCCTTGCGAAGGGGGAGAGATGTTGAGAAGAGAAAAGCGGACTGTTACCAAAGGTCATAATTACGCAATTGATCAGACCGCCTAGTTCAGAGATATCCAAAGTCCAGCGCGAGTCGATATTTCAACTAGTCCACGGCCTCCTCATGTACCAATATATACAGCCTGGGAGCTTTTGTACATGTGCATTTTGCTCTCATTACCTTAATATCGATTGAATATGGCCTGACACATTTTTATCACAAAATGTGGCCCTCCTTGCAAAAAGTTTGGACACCCCTGACCTAGTTGGACTTTATCGCAGTTGAGAAATATATCAGTTTGCAATGATTCGGAATACCTGCAGCTCGGGTTGGTAGTTAACGTTTTGATTCGTTCTCCGAGCTGAGTAATTTAATGACAAACGTTTCACCACTTCCCTCAGTGGCATCTTCAGTGCACTGCTCCGTAGAGGAAAATCTCACGGAAAGTGTCGTCGGGACGTAGCGTTTGAAATTGACGTCGTCGATCTGTGTCCCGTGACCTCTGTTTGTTCGATATTTGGCCGCCCAGTTTCACGCTTTCTCAGCTGTAGGTACACAGGATCGAGGTCAATGCGGAGGTTCACTGAATTCTCCGTAGAGAACCATGCCTCGAGGAATTCCCTTCCTTTTCTTGTCCCTCCGTGCGCCAGAATTTCTGTGTTGTCCCAGTTAACGTTGTGTCCTTCCTCATCGAGATGCGCTGAGATCTGTGACGATACATAATGGTATCGACATGCACGCTTGTGCTCTTGTATTCTTGTGGATAGTTTTCTCCCCGTTTGACCTACATAGTCTTTCTCACAGTTCTCGCACTGTATCCTGTAGACGACATTTTGGCGTTCGTGTGCCTCCAGTTTTTCTTTAGGTCTAGATAAGATTCTTTTCAAAGTCGCAGTTGGTATGTGAGCTATCATCAGGTTGTGGGGCTTGAGGAGTCTGGCTGTCGTTTCCGATACATTTTTTATGTACGGCAAGGCGATGTGTTTCGCCGTTGTTGGTGCAGGTGCGATAGTTGTGCTCCTTCGGTTTACGCGTCTTCGGATGAAACTGCGTGGGTAGCCGTTGCGAATAAAAGACATAAACAGATGTTACTCTTCCTTTCGTTTTGCCTCCGCAGTATTGCAGTGCGATTCTTTCCTACGAAACAGGGTCCGTATACAGCTTATTTTGTGACACTTAGGGTGATTGCTGTTAAAGTTCAGGATTTAGTCGGGGTGTGTCGCTTTTCTGTAAACTGATGTTTGTAATTCGCCTTCCACTGTTCTGGCAACCAGCACGTCCAGAAAGGGTAGTTCGTTTTCCACCTCTTCTTCCATGGTGAAACGAATGCCTTCCATTGCATTTTATGTAGGTCTTGTGTGGTCTGTAGCTGGTTGCGTTTAAGAATCACAAACGTATCGTCAGTGTATCGCATCCATAATTTCGGATTAATGAGTAGGAGTATATCCTCCTCCAATCTCTGCATGACCACTTCCGCAATAAGTCCAGATATGGGGGATCCCATTGGAGCTCCTCTAACTTCCTCTTAAAACACACCGTTGAATTTGAAGTAGGTAGTAAAACACAAGTCGAGGAGCTTGTATATGCTTTCACTTGTTAGCTTCCCAGTCGTTTGTCCTCCTTTGTTCAGACTTTCTCTGCTATTTTCTTTCGCTATCTGGAAGTTGATGGAAGTGAAAAGTGCGGTGACGTCAAAGGATGTCATCACTTCTTCATGGTCTATCCACATGCATTTGAGCTTTTCCAAAACCTGATGAGCATTATTGATCGATTATTCCGATCCGCTGGTCAGCTGTTTGAGGCCTTTCCATAATTCTTTAGCCAAGTTGTAAGTTGGTGTACCTGAGAGTGATACTATTGGTCGTAGCGGCGCATCCTCTTTGTGTACTTTCGGAAGCCCGTAAAACTGTGCGCTGTTTGGATCATGAGCCTTCATTCTATCATACTCTCCTTTTGTAAGTTGATTTAGATATTGAATTCTCTTAAGTGTCTTATTCACTTTATTTGTCAATCGTACAGTTGGATTGTTCTCCATGCGTCGATAGGTTGTTGTGTTGGCTAGATGACTTGTCTTTACAATATAATCAGTTTTGTCCATTATGACAGTCGTACGTCCCTTGTCCGCAGGCAGGATTACGATGGTTTGGTCGGCCTTCAGTTTTATCGATCATTGCTTTCGCCAATTCAAAGGAGATGCTACTTTGCAGCTGAGGTCGTGCTACTGCAGCAAACAAGAAAGTTATTGCGCGAATACCAATTGAGGCATACCACATTTCCAAGTTTAACAACTTTTGCGGCTACCAGTTTAACTGGACATGCGGTAGCATGAACATCGGCCTGACTAACAGAAAGCTGCCGACTCAGATATGGGAGCATATCACACGGAATCTAAGTACAACTGGTGCTAATTAACCTGTTAGATCAGTTGCCTGGCACCTGCGCGATATATCAAAACCGGCGTGATGTATTCAAGCTTATTGGCAGACAAAACAGTCTGAACCAGCTCCGGTTCGATGAAGCCACTGCCATCCGGCGTCTGAAGCTCAATCTTTACAAGCAGCTTGACTTCATGGTCAGCTTAGCTCTGTCTTAGTAGAGTACATGATTTGTCTTAGAAACACACTGGGACAGTTGACTGTGGACTCCTGGTATTGACAACCTGTCATTCGCGTTCACTTAGGTTTTCACAAATAGTGTGGATACGGTTGATGTTGCATACATCATGCTTCTTCATCGCAGTGGGGCTACACCGAATTAGACTAAAACCCGATCTTCTTAACCTGGATAAAAAGTATTTCTGTTTATTTGATTTGCTCAGTTGTTATACTGATGCATATTCCGTGTCATTTTGCCTGTTTATTTTCCATCAAATTCGGTTTTGGTCGTTTGATGTCCCCGGTGTGGCTGCGCTTGTTGTGAATGTTGACAAGGTGCCTACCAGTTTAACACGCTCCACCTTGATTACTGACTCCAGGAGACTGTGAATCGTTGCTTGGGGAGGGGAAGGGTGGATGGTCCTCGTGGCCGTACTAGGCTCAACGAGTGGTTCCGTCCAGTGTGGAGCGGACCATGACGCAGGCACAGCCTCGTGTAGGTCTGATTCTCCACTTAGCCAGGAATGTTTCTACTGCTGTGCATGTTGAAGGAGTGGGGGCCGGCTCTATTGATAAAATGTGGCTCCCATCCACATGCCTCTCGGTCTTATTCCTTCGGGTTTACACTGGGTATGCGGTGTGTGGATGGAAATGTGAGTGGGGCAGCGCAAGCCACCTATGGTCCCTTTGTAGGCGCACACGTCCTGTGGCTGTCTCATGGAGGCCGCAGTGACAGGCAAATCCGGAACTGGATGCCGCCAACCATGTTTGGAGTTGAATGAGAATACAACAAATAAGCTGATTTCAGTTTGTGGTGTTGAAAGGTTGTTATCTTATGCATTTTTAAAATGGTGGAGGTTGCTATGGTTTACCATTAATCAAAAATTGCATTTGCAATGAGATGATTCCCGCGAGACTCGATGTGTCTACCACGCGTTGCCGACAGCAAGGCGAGCAGACCCATAGCGAATTGCATCTCTTGTCTGCTGTGTCAGCTACGAAACTGAATGTGACGAAGGGTGCAGCGACGCTTGATTACCAAGGATACAAGGTTTGATGAGCGCAGAGGAAAAGAGGGGAAAGAAGAGTGGTATCACACTGAGGACGGTTAGTGATATACTTTTATACAAATTGACATTCATATTTATAAAAAAATTACTAAATATTTAGAAATAGAAAGGGGATCTGTCTAAAGCGCGTTCAGAAAAAAAAGCCAGCACCAGGTCCTAGAGTAGAAAAGTCCAAATAAAGAAAAGATTGTGAATACACATACAGGCAATAAGGTTGACATGTAAGTATACGGTCGCGAGAAAATACACCGAAGATAAAAAAAGAGACGGAGAGAAGAGAGTAAAAACTTCAAAGAGTAATCAGATACGAGTGTAGCACACATGTGTGTGTGCACACGTGCTAGACATCTAGGAGGCGATTGAAATTTGGTCCCCTGGAAATGAGAATGTCCGAATAGGCAGCTTCTTGCTTTAGGTCAACTGCGCCTTGTTTACGCAACAACAGAATGGTGTAGAACTTTGAAGCGGCCTGAAATAAAGGCAGATGAAATGGTTGATAGATGAAAATTTAAAGACGTGGCAAATAGTTATAAGGTGTAGAATTTGTAGAGCAAACAGATCGAATAGAAAGTCAGATAGGAAACTTCGGTGACAGAGCGCAACCCCTTTCGGCACTGTGCGCTCCCTAAAAGTGGTTTGATTCTACTGGACTTGCCCGACATCGATAGAAAGGTAGAAACGAGAAACAGAATAGTATTAGTGGATTTATGGAATCCTGGACAAGTTCAGGCAGATTATTCAGTAGGCTACATCACACAGTTAAGGGGAGAGCAATGTAGAGAGAATGTGATATACAGGAATGTGATCCAGACGTCAGTTAATTGCGGCACCAGTTGGTAACCGAGTAAAACCACAAAGACCCTTAACCTACCTCCTTCATGTGTGGAAATCATAATAATTAGGGTGGATTGTCGGAAATTCATGTGGTTTAGAAGGAAACATGTATATCACAAGAATATAGTCACGATTGCGTTGCTCATTGAGTAGGAATGACCGGAGCAGTTGTGGTTAGGGTACTTAGCAAGTAAGCTCTGCGCCCCAGGTTCGAGTACTTTTTCGAAATTCCAACCAGCGTGTGACCACTCACGGTTGTACAACGAGGAAACACTAACACAGAGGAGTACATGCACATATCGTCGATACTTAACCGTATACCGGAGTAGGGAAATAGTGGATGCTAGATGAAATATGAAAGGAAGAAACAACCGGAGGCTGGTGATTAGCAGTTACCATTTAGGATGAGGGTCTAGGTGTCCTGAGAGTAAACCAGAATGGTGTGTAAAAATGGTCAGATTCTAAATTTCTTTGCGTGATCACCTACAGGGTTACAAGGGAAACAACGCAAGTGGCACGAAAAAGTCTATTCGAAAGAGGGAAAAATTGCGTATGTAGAAATAGGAGTAAATCAGTTGATAACTGAGGTCAGCGTGGTTAATTCTGAGTATAAGACATAAAAAACTACCCACGAAAAAATCCCAGGGATGTTTAGTTAGTAAGTTTCGATCAGTCAATGGCACAATTAGAACACTAAAAAGGCAACAGCCTTGCAAGAACAAACCTGTTTTTTGGTATTGCCAGCACAAATAGACTGTAATGAAAGCGGTCCATCCCAGCCGAATTGTTGCTGGTGTGCGCGCAGCATACGCAACAGGACTTTGGATCGTTTCTCCAATCGACGCTCTTCCAAGGATTCTACGGTAACCTGTTCTGAGACGTCAGCTGCTCCACCGACGCCACCGGGGACTGGAGTGGTCCCACCGGAAAGAAGCGAAGCGGATTCCGGGTGCGCGCTGGCAAATGCAAGGGCTAGTTGGTTCTCCGCCTCATCATCGGCTTCCGCCAACTCGCGTTCCAAAGCGAGCATGTCCGCCTGCACAAGCGGTAAATGGAAAAACAGCCATAAGGGAGGTGCCAACAAGGATGATAGCAACTACGCTTTCGATTCGCAGAACATAAACGTGTCATCAACATAACGTATATACATCGCAACTTCATTGATGTGCGATCTTAGTTGGCTTCAATTTCGTCATAAATACACCTACCAGCAGGTGTCCCGACGGCGACACCATGGTAACTTCATCAGTTAGACAATATATTTGCTTTCTTAAGAGTAAACACACGTTGAAGATGCATCTAACTAACACTTCTTTCAGATTATCCGGGAAATTTATAGGTGCTGTTGTGGTACTAGTTCACAAAGATACTCCACTATTTGTAATAACGGAACATTCGTAAACAATAACTGTGGGTTAAGTGATGGCATCCACTTGTTGATAACATTTAGTTTCGTTATCTTCCCAAGAAACACAAAGTATCTTTCACATGGTAGATGCAGATTGTTGTTCGCAGAGCTTCTAACTTCTCGACCAAACATTGAGCTGTTGAGAAGAAGTAACCGTGTCCCAAGTCTGATGCAGTGGAGTGTCTTTTAGATATCCGCCTGAAAACCTCAGATTTTGAAAATCGCATTTTTAAAAAAATAACATTCGCTTGCATCATGCGTCTGAACAAACCGGTTAAATGCCTGTCTATGCTGTAGTAACCATCGATGATGTCAGCTTTTGGAACTTGGGTTCGTCACTAAGAATATGTAGTACCTTACTGACGTAATCAGCCTTATCAATTAGTCTAGTTTGGAGATGATAAACTTGTGTTTAGCCATAACTCTCAAAGTGACTGCACTTGTTCCCATGTAAGAATACTATTAGGGACCTGTTCGGTCCTAATGTAATCATGACATGTATTTACTAAGCTAGACATCATTTTCTCATGAGCACCGACAGCGCTGCATCAGCAGTTGCAATACTGTCGAAGTTAAGTGAAACGAACTCCGTCCCGGGAGTCAGGAATGGAGAATGACAGGACTCGAAAACAGGAGGTAAACAGACAAATAGTGTATGTGTATTTCACACTCGCAACACCATGAACAGTGTCGTAGTTTCTTAGACTCGTTATGTAGTGATGGCAAAAGAATGCGTCTCAAACGCGGGACCATTGGGATGTTGGCTAAAGAATCTACCCCTAAAACAGTGAGTGGCTCACTTCAATGTGAATCTCGCGCCGTAACCCCACAGACACACAAGTGCTTTAAAATGGTCCCGTCAGAAAGCGAACACTAAAATCAAAGTTCGTGAGCATCGCGCCTTCATAATTGCGTGGCTAGGATATTTTCTGCTTCTAGCGAAAGAGTGCGTGCGACTATTTGGGACTACTAGTCAATCAGGTGACAGAACAGAAAATAGAAGCACAGAGCAAACACTCACTCGTATCACGCTAGGCGGTGCCTCGGACAGCACGCTAGGAGGTGGCATGTATGGCGTAGGGGGTTCGCCCATAAAGGCCAAGTCATCGTGCATGTTCGCGTCATCAAAATCATCGTGGCCATGGACCATTGGACCGTGAACTATGGAGGTGTAAAAGATAGGAGTGAGAATAGGGGGGATAGAGAATAATTTCGAAATGAATTTTTCCTTGCCTGAACGCTTCTCGCAAGGCTTCCGCAAGCAACTCTTGCGCATTGCCAAGGCTAGTTACATACATCATTTTGAAACCAGAATTGTGCGTGCAAAACCCATTCATAGGGCCGATACTCCCACCGTGGCCAACAGATTGGTACTTATCTATTTGGCTGCTACCTGAGGTCTATGTACTCATATTTCGTCTACTACGGGAGGCATTCCCGACAAGAATGTCATACTCTTGAAAGAGCTGTATAGTCACACCACTGGAAAAGTTAGAGCTTATGCAAGGCTTACTTTTTCGTTTCCCGTTACCAGTGGAGTGCGCCAAGATTATCCTATCTTGCCATTCCTGTTTAACTTTGCCACCGAAGATGTTCTACATTGCGCACTGAAAGGAGCCCAGAGCTGCGGCGCTGTTTCTATCCGGGAGCAGAGTCGTGGAACTGGACTATGCTGGTGACATCGCTTTGCTGGGGAACGACTTGCAGGCTATTCAAAACATTCTGAACCGCTTAGTGGTAGAGGCATCTAAGTATGGTCCGTATTTTGCACCATCCAAGTGTAAAGCTTTGCTCCAGGATTGAAAGGCGCCTGTGCCTACAGTCACCATTTCGGGTGCATGCCTAGAGCTTGTTAACAGCTTTACTTACCTCGGGAGTCGCATCACGGCTGGTAGCGGTATTGGCGATGAAACTTCACAACGAATTGTCGAAATTCGCCCTGCATTCACTAACCTGAGACACTTGTGGCGTCGTTCCGATGTCAGTCTCAAGCTCAAAGGCCGAGTGTACAATGCCACAGTTCGTGCTGTCCTACTGTATGGCTGCGAGACCTGGCCTGTTCGATCGGAACATTTGAGACGACTGTCTACTTTCGACAACCGCTGGTTGCGTTCGATTGCTCGCGTATGGTGGTAACACCATGTGAGCAACGCGGAAGTTAGAAGCAGAATCATGGGAGCGGACAGTCCTAGCCTCCAGAGCATAATAATCCAGCACCAACTGCGTTGGCACGGTCACGTATTGCGCATGCCGCCGCACCGCCTCCCACGTCGCGCATTATTTACACTTTCTGGACGTGAATGGAAAAAGAGCCGCGGTGGACAACCGATGACCTGGAAAAGGAGTACGAAGATTCTAACTTCGTGTCTAGCGTCAGTTGGATCCGTGCGTCTCCCAGGAATGGGGACCACGTGAAGCGGATTCCCAATGGTTGGAAGTCTTGAAGGATATGGCCCGCAATAGGAGCCAATGGCACCAATGCTGTTTTACCATCTCTTCAGCATGTAATTTTTAATTATGAACAAAAGATGAAAACAACAGAAAACTAAAAACGGCGTGCGTGAAACGTTTTTCTCTCTTTTTTCGTGGAACATTATCTTCCCCTTTCCCCATTACCTTGGTTCAGATGGCACATCCGTCTGTTTACAGACTTGTGAGGAAATATATATTCCTTCTGTTCACTTTGATCGTTCAAATAACTAAGAAATCAATTCTCAGCCCGATTTGACACAAATGCAGTGCATGGTAAACGCTCGAATTTACCCGAAAGGTATGCTTAATCCTGCACTAATTTTTGGCCATGATTCTTGCTAGTGAAAGTGGTATAAGATACCCGATGTCAGTGTTGGAGGATAGGAGTGCACAGCGTGTGTATGGGACGCGATATGCGAAACAGGCTTAAGCAATCTATATAGCACAGCCTGGGATACGCATGAAGCGCCAAACTTCAATTCAGCTGAGTTGAACTATCGATGGCCTGACTCGATCCGCGAGCCAAGTGGATTGGTCTCTGCTGCAATCTCCTTATGCTGAAGCTTTCTGGAATGGAGAAAACTACGTGTGTAACCAAGATGTGCCTCTCAAGTGCCGGAAGGTCGGACCGGTCAGGCCACATTGGTTCGATAAGGAACATGGTAGACTGGCAAGATGGAGGCGCGGACAGTGGGACGAATTCCCTATCTTTGGTTCGGTGGACGAGTACGAGATGTATAAAAAGCAGCGAAGCATTTGCAACGATGAGAAAACGAGCAAGCGCAAACAATTCGAACAATAGCTTGCAACCGTTGCAACTGCCAGAAGAAAATCTTTACGTACGTAAAGCGGTGCCTAAAGCAGACAGGTGACATATCTGTGATAAAGGAAGCGGACAGAGCTCCTAACCTCCAACACCGAGAGTGTGTCCGCCTTGGCGGCAAATAACTAGGTGTCTGTACCGAGTTCGGCGTGAACTGCCCTTACCGACCTCGACAATGTAGATTGTGGTGTAGAAGAGGTGGGTCAACTATTCGTCAGCATTGGTGCATATGTGGACCGGCTCTTGAAATTCCTAGGGGATTCGACGTTGTTGTGCACTGAGGACATGCGAGTTGAATTAGAAGAAGCAGCGTACAAGCAGATCGACGACGTCGCCATGGGGCCAGTTTTGGCAGATATTTTCTTGGAGTTAATTGCACGAAAAGTTGCAGCCAGCATTGGTGAAGCAGTTATACAAGCATCACGAGGACGGCATTTATGCCATTTCTCAGTGGATTGCATCCTTAACACAATGGCTTTCATCCGTAGTGCAGCAGCTTGCATCCTTAGCGCAAAAGCTATAGTCCGATAGTCACGAAAATTGTATCCACCATGTTCTCAGCGAACTAGCTGTCCGCTCACCTCAAACAGACATCTCGTTTGCTCACTCAAGCCATCCGCTAGTCTAGGTGCGCACCAGCATCGGACAAAAAAGGGGGAAAGCAGGGGCTTGCTCACGAACTGATTCCAAATCACAAGGCCTGGGATGTGAAGGTTAGGCGAAGTCAGCACAGTTACAGACGAACGCAGACGTAGCAGTGAACATGTCCGGAACACTGGATCACGCCCCCTTGCTTGATCGAGTGAGTTGTGAATGAAGTCAAAACGGTTTCACAAACAGAGCTTGAGTGAAAAAACGAGATGTCCCTTTGAAGCCAACGAACAGATGCTTACTGAAAAGGCCTTGGATGCAATTTTCTTGACTATCGGGTCATAGATTTTGCGCTAAGGATGTAAGCTGCTGCACTAGGGATGTAAGCCATTGCATCAAGGATGTAAGCAATTGAGAAATGGTATAGTCTCCACCAACGGTGAACATTTCAACCGTCTTTGTGCCCTACTGAATTCTATTTACCCCAACCTCTCTGCACTTCATGAGGTGAAACCGCAGAATTGCCTATCGTTCTTGGACGTGCTCATTATAAGAAGAGTTGATGGAACACTTCAGCGCAACATTCACCGTAAAGCCACTTGGGATGGACAATACCATCATTTTCCAGTTTCACGCTCGTTGCATACAAGCGCGGCCTTGTGAAAATACTTTTCTACAGGGCCAGATAAAATTGCAGTCCGGAGACGCCAAGGACTGAAGATACTGTACTTCAGACATTGCTCTCCAACAAGGCACCCGGAGTTCATCCAGGTCCACAGTAGACATCCGAAGGAAAAGCCACCAGTACAATCGGCGGAAAAGAAGGATATTTGTTTGTTCCTGCCGTCTAAAGGCGACTATGTTGCAAACGATATTAAACACAAGCTCAGATCAGCTCTAACAGGTAACTACACGACCGCGCAGCTGCGACTCCTCCACACCATATGAAGGGGCAGTCTCGACAATCATCAGGGCAGCTCGATAGACAATTCGGCCTCTCACATTATTAACCACTTCTTCTGAAGTTGCGGTGACGTATAAATAAGCATGACTGATCGTCAACTGTCTTAAAAGGTAGCTGAACACTTCCCAAAGTGGTTGAGGCAACAAGGTGGAGTGGATCAAGCGATGAACAGGAACCCCGCTTCTTCTATCGCCAAGCCCCTTATGGTGACGTAACATCCGGCGGACCCGGTCAGATCCTACAAAGTATTATGTCACCATAGGAATTCTAAACTGTTGAGGATCAGTGAGGCACTATCGATGAGGGTGAATCGCCCGGGGCTGTGTACCCAGAAACAACTGAGGCAATCAATTAGATTGCCACAGACCTGATTGCGTTTTACACGCCAAATATGTTCTTGTTTATACTGGTTGTTAAGCCATCACCTTATATAACTTAGCATAGTTCTTGCTTGTATAGCGTTGTGATTGAGGAGAGCAATCGAAATGGTGACATTTTGCAGTCTTCTTCGCATTATGTTAACCTTGATAGCATTAAGCCTGCTGGGCCTGACAGACTTAACCCTCTGATTCTCAAGTCCTTATAGGTCATCATCTCCCCTGCTGTGACTGACCCGTTCAACAGATCGTTGTCCGAAGATTCATTGCCTATTTCCCGGTGGGAAGACAGATTACGGAAGGCGGTAGCACTAGTAAAGTAGATAGCCATAGGTCAATTGGTTTGTCACCTATTTTTGTCATGTTTGCAAAGATTGTGAAGAAGGGTTTGCAACAGTTGTGCTGATCAAAAGATCTTCTAACGCCCGCACAGCACGGTTTAATGTCACATCGTTCATGCATCACCAACCTGCTCGTGAATGATTACAAGAAGTGAACCGGGGGGAGTCTATTGACATGATCAACATCGATTTTAGTAAGGCGTTCGACAAGGTGAACCATGAGATCCTCCTCTTTAAGCTGAGGATGTGGTCTTGGTGGCTCATTGCACCAGTGGATCCGCGAGTTTATGGTTGGATGGAAGTGTAGTGGACAAATCGATAGTCATCTGACCGACTGGCGTAATCCAAGACACGGTGTTGGGGCCTACATTGGTCCTGATTTATATCAACAATCTACCTCAGCTTCTTTGGTCGCCGTGTGTCTTGTCTGCAGACGAGTTGAAGATGTGGAGACGACTGCGGCCTACTTCAGCAAGACCGACTTTCCGTGTGGTCTACAGAAGTCCGCCTTCCGGTCAACCCATCCAAGTGGTATCCATGAGCCTAAGGAAGGGTGGTGAGCGCCGAACCTACACTCTCGACGGCTAATTTCTACATCCCACACCTTCAGTGAAGGACCTAGGAGTACTCTCATGTTGTGACTTGAAGTCAGTTGACAACATGAACAGCCTATATCGTAACGGACTGCGCATGCTCTGGGCACTCAACCGCAGTTCCTGCATCTGGTCTGAAGAGGATGCCAATAGGTTTTTCACATCCACCATCAGACCAATGTTAGAGTACAGATCGCCTGCCTATTGATCGATCACTCAATGCGATGCGCAAAAGCTCGAGGCGCTTTTGCTAAGTTTGGCCACCTATGTCGCCGGCGCGACATCACTCTCTCCCTGAAGGGTAGAATGTACAATGCAGCCGTATGTTCGACTCTACTGTACGGTTGTGAAACCTGGCCTCTTAGATCAGCGGACATAAAGAGGCTAGTTACGTTCGATTGCCGGTGCCTTCGCAGTTTGGCTCATATCTGGTGGATACACCGTGTGAACAAGGAGTGTTCGACGCCTTGTTTACAGCCCAGGAAAAGGAAATGAACCGCACAGCACCGTTATTTCATGCAACAGACTCCGATGGCTGGGCCAGGTGTTACGCAGGCCAGCCCACTGGCTTCCGTGGCATGCATTGTTTGCGCGCCGGGGGTGCGTATGGATGAGGAGGGGAGGCCAAGCGATGACTTGGTCAAGAGGAATGAAGGCCTTTTTCCAAGTTGGCCTTGGTTAGAGCCTCTCGGCTCCTTGGTTGGGGACCGAAGGACGATGAACACGTTTGGTTGGATACAGTTGTTGACATGGTTAGGAGCAGACCTCAATGGCGTTTGTGTTGTGAGTTCCTTTGTCTATCCCCCTGCGCCTAGCCGCCCCCCTCCAATGACGACCTCAATTAATAGGCATTATATGACTTGTTGCGGCACAATAGCCGGCTGTTAGCTCTCCAGAACAATGTCCATCCGTTACTGGTGACTCAAACGGCGTGCCTCTGCTGCATTTCTCTTCTTTTCTGGTGTGTTTCAGCACAATAGCTTAGGTGTTTCCACCTGCAGCTAGCGTGTATAATGATGATGATGCGCAGAAAATCGAACGAGTTCAAAACGTCGATACTAGACTCATTTCCGGTTTACGGGGTCCACTGTACGAGGACAGGTGCGAAAAGCTGTGAGTCGATCTCAGTATGATTTACCGCATTCTACATCTAGGCGACTTCCCCGTGCTGAGGCCATTGCTCCACTTGCGAACACATTGCTGCACACACATACACCAGTAAAAGCTTATGGTACTAGATCTAAAGCCAGTCTACCATTTCCTGTGTTTTGAACGGCGAGTGGTAAAGGGTTTGGAAGTTAGCCGGAACACAGAATGGAAGCAAACACAGTGCAACTTTTCAGACGATCATTGGATGAGCATTTATAAGATGTTAGATTCCAAGAACGATCACCCACTATCTCACATTGTCGAGTCCCAATTTACTGTAAGCTACACCTTATTCTACGATATCATGTGAGACGGTGAAAAACGATCAGGTTAATGACAAATCATAGACAATTTGCTTATCTAACGTTGTTGATCATATTTCGATAAAGTCGTACAGAATCCAAGTTCTACTTGCGCCCAAAGTACAGTATTCAGTGTCCAAGGAACCAAGTCATCATGTGGAACGTTAAGAACTGCATTCAAATAATGGGTGTTTGAGCGATACCCTTCGGTTTTCCAAGCTTTTAGCTCAATAACTTGGTAGCAAATTTGAAGTTAAAAAGTCTACCACACGCCCGAAAAAGCACTAGACAACCGTGTTGATCTATCGGCTGGCTTGCCGAACAACTTCCTCGTGGTGCCAGCTGGGTGGTTCGGGATTTTCCCGTTCCAGCAAATGGTTCGGCGTCAGTGTTCCAGGACGTGGTATGTATTCGTCTGGCAAGGGTTCTACCTATAAAAAGCCACATATGTCCGTTTAACAACACTGTGACGTGGCGGACGTGACTCGCCACTAAATAAAGTCACTGTCCCTTGCTTCATCCTGGCGAAGCATTGTATTCCAGCAACTTTGTGTTGTAATTCTGGGGAGCATTGGGCCCCTGTTTGACAAAGGAACAAACGAAAGGCGTATGAACTTAGCACTCAGTCACCGGCTCCTAATGGGCGCCATTCCCTGAATTTGCTCCGCTGCCTTGCGGGCAGGCTCTTCAGCCTGATATGTAAATATGTAAATATTATCAAAGCGCTGTACGCACATAGTTCGGGCAGGGTGAGGGTTTATGGTAAACTCTCGCCACCCTTCAGTATCACCAGCGGTGTGAGACAAGGATGCCCGCTGTCACCTTTCCTCTTCAAGTTCGCTATTGATGAAGTCATGGAAACAGCGTTCGCTGGACACGACCTAGAAGGTGTGGAGCTACTCCCTGGTGAGCGACTTCTTGACTTGGAGTATGCAGACGATATTGCCCTAATCTGTGACAGCTCCCAAACATGCCAAACAGCACTGAACCGATTAGCACTGGCTGTCAATCGTTTTGGGCTATGCTTTGCTCCATCGAAATGCAAAGTACTTCTCCAAGATTGGCAGGGACCCAACCCTGCGCTAACGCTTGGTGGTGATCTGCTAGAAGTCGTTCAGGAATTCAAGTACCTGGGCAGCTATATTAGCACCCGTGGGATTGAAGATGAGGTTACGAACCGTATAGCAAAAGCTCGAGGTGCTTTTGCCAATCTCCGCCACCTGTGGCGCAGACGCGACATTACTCTCGCCCTGAAGGGCAGAGTTTACAACGCAGCCGTCCGTTCAACTCTCCTATATGGCTGTGAAACCTGGCCCATCAGGTCGACAGACATGAAGAGACTCGTCACATTCGATTATCGCTGCCTTCGCAGCTTAGCTCATGTCTGGTGGGAACACCGCGTGAGCAATGAGCGTGTTCGGCGTCGCGTATTTGGTACAGGAAGAGCGAGTGAACCGCTCAGCACGATTATATCACGCACCAGGCTCCGATGGCTGGGCCACGTGTTGCGCATGCCAGCACACCGACTCCCACGACGTGCTTTGTTTACGCGTTGTGGGTGCGGTTGGAAGAGGAGGAGGGGAGGCCAAGTGATGACTTGGTCGAGAGAAATGAAAACCCTCACTTCGAAGTTGGCATCGGTTGGTGCATCCCGACTGCCTGTTTGGGTTCCTAAGGACGGTGAACACGTTTGGTTGGACACACTTGCTGATTTGGCTAGGTGCCGGCCCCAATGGCGTTTGTGTTGTGAGTTCCTTTGTCTATCCCCCTCCTGTTTAGCATCCCCCTCCAATCACGATCTCAATCGTTTGGCATAATATGACTTTCTTTTACGGCAGCCAGCTGTTAGCTCTCCGGAACGATGTCCATCCGTTACTGGGGACTCAGCGGGCGTGCCACTGTTTGTTGTTGTTGTTGTTGTTGTTTTTTCTTCTTTTCTTGCCTTTTGTATTGCGGCACAATAGCTGAGGTGTTTTCCACCTCCAGCTAACGTGTAATGATGATGATGATCGGGGTGGTGTCCCCTAAGTCAACACCCTACTTCGGCTTGGGCAACCGGGTAGTACCTCACCCTCTCACGAAATCATGGACTTTAATGTGTGTGTTTTCTTGTACTATTTCTGTACCTTCTTTTGAGTCCCATGGTTTCTGGTGGCTTTATGTCTATTCGTAGATTGTCGCAATATATATATATATATATATATATATATATATATATATATATATATATATATCGGGAATTGTAGATAGTACGCATCAATCGAACCTAACAGGAGGATCGGAACCCATGACCACTAGCAGTTGGCGCCACTAACTACCAGCATATACCACTGAGCAATGGACGGCGGCGAACGTCATGAGTTGCAAACCAACTACGATATAGGGCAACCCGTTGTTCACTGCCAGGTAAGTTACGTACGTTATTACAGAGGGCAGTAATGGCCCCGAGAGACACGGCTTCTACCAACAGCAGCTGTGTATGACATAGTAATTAGCAGTTTAGGGTGGATATTTGTGATGCACTCATGTTGAACTGGCTGTGTTCGATGCGAGTGTTGACAGGACATCTACCAGGTTCACCGTACTGCTAATCGTTGCGAGTGGAGAGGTGTACGCTTTTCGTAACAGTGTTAGGCTCCAAGAGTAGTGCAATCATTGAACTGGTCACAAGACGCCTGACGTAATGCGTACGTTCAGTACGCAGGCTTCATCGATTTCACATCGGTAGTGTATCAGATGAGGGTATGGGTGGATTGTGTACTAATTCATCCGGGAGCATTCCTTCGGGTGTATCCTAGCGCGCGCGGACGAAACTGTGCGTAGCGCAGCACAATTCTCCTATGCCCTCTCGTGGAAGCAAGCGTTTGTGACGGTTCGTAATAGTAGTTGGGTTAGATATGGAATGAATACTACCAGCTCTACGAGTTTCTTGCGACTAAGCTTCCAGGAACGGTTCGTGACCTGGGGAACCTGAGAACCAAAATAAACTCTTATGCAAAAGTGAGGCCTCTGACACACGTGTTGTGGTTCCGTTGCGAGATCATTAAACATTGAGAAGTGAATCGCGTAAATAGAAACAGTAGATTAGCACTCACCTTGGTCGAAGTCCGATGTTTCTCTGCCGGCGGACAACTGATTGGACGCATCTTCCGAAATCTCTCTGATGACGTCCAGCTGCTTATGCATGCTCGGAGCCTCGGTGGGGAATGGTACATCAGGGGATTTCGAGGGAGGCAGAACAACGGCGGATGGGAGAGAAACTTGGGGCTATACACAATGGGGATAAAGAGAGCACAATTGGAGCCATCAAGCAGCACAGTAACTCGAGGCAACAAAACATAGGTGAGCAGAAAAGGTGGATTAATAGGAGGCGAACAGCCTCTGAAGTCGTAAGGATAACCAGGCGACTAGCAAATAATAATGAAAATCGTCAGCTGTACGCGGCAGCTAAGCGCCGGTCGCGCGTGGGCTGAGTATACCGACAAGACCCCAGCCCCCACACGGATTCGAACCGGTGACTTTGGGATTGCAAACCAAGCATGCGGACCATTTGGCCACCGGTGACTAGTGGTCGGCAATGGATTGATTGACATTCCTGTAGGCACAAACAGCGCACACTATGAGTTTGCTGGATCTTAAAATGAACAACAAATTGCTGCAACAACGTAAGCGCGGATGTTTTAGTCGTTCCCAGTTGTGAAAAATGCGGCTAGCTTATACCCTCGATCAAACGCTTCAAAGCAACGGTGGTTGGGGAGGGTCCAAGTCAGTTGGAGAAAGTACAAAAGTCAAAAAGCAATCATTGCGTAACAGTTATTGAACATCGCCGGCACATGAAGCGTATCGAAAACATGCCATTTCACATTTTCGGTGGTTACAGATAACCTGAAGCAAAATATCAGAGCAACCTGACCCCAAAAGCGTCTCCCCATAGTATCAAAAATTAAGCGATTGTGAAGCCAAAACTCACAAAAAGTGCTTGAGGATACGATTGTGGCTATTTTAAAGTGAAGTTATGATGGAGATGTGTGCAAATAAAGGATTTCACCAAGAGTTATGTAATCGTCGTTACCCCGTGGAATTCCGTGACCATGAATACTTTAGGGGCGTCATGGCTCCAAAAACAATCAGATTTCGAGCTGTTGGAGTTTCCAACGATGCGGGATTCGCTTTACTGAGTAATGATCACAAAATGCAGCATTGTACTATACCTCCGATATAATGCAAAGGCCTGAAAAATTGATAACCACCAGCGGAACCTAGTTCATTCGGGATATCGAGAAAAAGTGCACCAGAATACAACTTAGGTTCGGTCACTATCCTATCATTTGATGAATACCTGAGAGGGAAAGGACATTTTAGATACTAGTGATGTTTCTACTTGGTTGCGGAAGAAGACCGAACGTACAAGCGATTCAAAAGAAGATTGGGAAGAAAGCACAAACGCAGCACACGGGGCTCTAATCTAAGAAAATTATCTCAAAAGGCAAACGAGATGCATGCAGAAGCTGGCAATTGAGGTGAAAACTCGGACAGAGACAGTCCAGTAGGCTCACAACACTAGGTAGACAGATAATGAAAAACGGTCATCGAAAGATATAAGAAAATGTTACGGCGTTATACCCGGGTCTAATAGATATAATCATTCATTCCACACTCTAGCGAGAGGTGAGAAACACAGCTACTGTGCCATAATACAGTTTAATCCTATGGCATTAGAGGAGGAATGCAAAAACCACAACAAAAGGAAAACATCCCTTGCTTCACAATGCTTCGACGGGGAAACACGACACAAACACCACTGAGATCGGATGTTTGTCATGTCAACTAGTGTATCCAACCAGATGTGTTCATCGTCCTGCGGTCCACAGCCCGACGGTCGAGTGACGCCAAGTTCGGAGTGAGGGTTTTCATTCCTCTTGACCAATTCATCGACGGCTTCACCACTTATTTTATTACACACCCTGGTCGCGCAAACCGCACCCAGCGGGAGTCTTGTGCTGAGCCAGCCTTCGGGGCCTGGTGCGTGATTTAACGGCGGTGAGCGATCCACGCGCTCTTCCTTCACCACATACACGACGCCGAACACGTCCATTGCTCACGCGGTGTCCCGACCAGATATGAGTCAAACTGCGAAGACACCGGTGGTCGAACAAAACTAGCCTCTTTACACCTTTCGATTTGATGGGCTGGGTTTCGCAATCGTACAGGAGAGTTGAATGGATGACCGTATTGCAAACCCTGCAGGGATCAAGAAAAACGATTCGAGCTTTGCTATACGGTTGCTGATCTCGTCTTCCCTTCCACATGCGCTGATACAGCTTCTCAGACTGTTGAATTTCTGGACGACTTCTAGCGGGTCTCCACTAAGAGTCAGTGCAGAGGGCGGACCCTGCCGGTCCCGAAAGCTTTGCATTTTGAGGGTGCAAAGCATAGCCCGAATCGGCTGACAGCTAATGTTAACCTGTCCAGTGGTAGTTGGTCCGTTTGTGAACTGTCATACATTTGAGCAATACTCTAAGCAAAGAAGCACTGACCTGGAAACAGCTCCACACTTTCCAAATCGTGTTCAATGAACGCAGTTTTAATGGCTTCGTCAATGCCCAAGTTGTAAAGCAGATTTAACGTAGAGAATTCCTGTCGCACATTGCCGGAGATATAAAAGAGCAGCGACAGTTTGTCATAAGTAATCACTCTATCCGAACTATGCGCCCAAAGTGCTCTTATAACACTTACGTATTCCTCGGATATAATTTTCCTAATCAAACAGTCTCAAAAGATACATCGATGCACCGAATCGAAGACATCCCACGAGTTGAGAAGCACAACTACGGCGGGTCGTTAATGCAAGGAGTGGTGTTCTAACAACCGACATAAAGTGGTGTGTTCAGCGCAGCGCCAAATTCAACGAAACCCGGTTTCATATTCACGAATCTAGTTTCCATGGATAAATATATATATATATATATATATATATATATATATATATTATATATATATTATATATATATTATAATTATTAATATATATATATATATATATTTGTCCTTGGAAACGTTTAGGTTGTTAATTCTTCAATAGATACCTAAATAATCTTCTATTAGTTTGCACATGACGATGAAACGAAGGGTGGTTAACTACGTTGATATTTGCTCGTTTGCTGCATTTGTGTTCTTGATCTCACGTTCTACCATCTTGAATTTATCCTGGAGAAGTCGATAAGCAATTTAATTATATGCTGTTAGCGAAGAGTTGTTTCGACATATCCATATGGTGTTTACGATCTATGTTCCTTGTTGTTGTCACTTTAAGTGATTGGTTGTTGATTGACATCTTCGATGTCGCTGCGCCTGCTGTGCATGTTGACAAGGTGCTTACCTGTCTAGTACCCACTACCTCGTCCATATTGGCTCCAGCAGACAGTTGGTCGTTGCTGGAGGGGACGTGGTGCACGGTCTTTGTGACCGTGCTAGGCTCGGAGAGTGGTTGTATACACTCAGTGTGGAGCGGACTACGGTCCAGCCACCGCCTTGTGTAAGCCTGGTACGCATGATTTCCCAATTAGACAGGAATGCTTCTGTCCTGATTGATGGAGTGTAGGCCGGCTCCGTTGCTGAAAGGTGGCTACCATCCACATGCCTTCCGGTCGGTAATTTCGTAGTAAGTAATCGGATCACCGAGTGGGTGCAAAGATACACATCGGTGGTTTGATGTGGGGGAAAAGTTCGGGCGGATGAAGGGAGGCAATCGGTGAAAACCCACTACATGATACGGTCCAAGACTGGTATTGTTGTACCGAATAGGTAACTGCGTACCGCTATTGACAGCTCATTTTTTTGGTTTCTCGGAACTTAGGCACGCTCGAAAATCATACGTGTTGCTATCGAATAAGGAGTTTTGGACAGGAAGAGGAGGCATGAATAGTTGTTCCAGCGAGTCAATCCAGTTAAATATCTGTGAAAACGGGGAAGAGTAAGTGACAGGGGTAGGAGTAATCCACAGTCAACTTTTTATAAGCCGTAACTGGCTGCAGAATGACGTGGACCGAATGCTGACAGATTAGCCATGCGAAGGAATGTGTTGCGCGAGCAGTGAGCTACGCAGCCGGATTGGAGCGTTAATTCCTGCACCCCGTCAACAGGTTGATCCACTACGGCGGAACTGAGGAGACAATGTAGTGGTGATGGAACAGCACGTCTAAACGCCAAGTATGATGCGACCCGCCGGTTGCACTTACCACAACGTGTGCGAAACTAAGCTGTGGGATTACCGCCGATCGTCGTTTACTAGATTCGAGTTTTCACAATATAAGTCATGCCCAATATGGAAAGTGACCGACCTGTCAATACCAATAGTGGCGTGAAGGGTTGACAGAGCGGTAGCGGACACGGGCGAAATGAATCAGGAAAATTCGGGACTTACGTGAGCCGCTTGCTCGGGAGCTGTTTCGATAAGTGCAGACGGTGCGGGCATTGGGACGAAACCCAGCTTGGTAGGACAGGGCATAAAAAGCTGTTCCTCAGGCGCATCGTCTGGAATTGGAATGGTGTGTAAATTGCACACAAATAGGCGTTGTAAAATGCGGGACGGAATCGCACGACCGGGTAACGTGAACAGCTTGTCCACGCTGCCGGTTTCTTTCCAATGCATTAGCTTTTTCGTAGGTGGTGCAAGATCAAGCTGGGTTGTGATCTCGGAAGTGTCCTCCATTTGTAGTTTCATTGTTTCACTGGGGATAGACTTCAGTTCGTCCACAATAAGACGGCGTTTTCGCTTGCCGACCCTAAGAGGGACAAATGATATCAATTTAGTTCAATAAATGTGGGGGAGGGTGCACTAAATATGGGGAGTAGCACCTTTAGAGCAATGGGCAGGGGGTGAATAGTTACTCAAAAGCAGTCAGCAAACAGTATCATGGAAATTAGTTCATCGATTACGGTCCTGAATCGAGGCACCCAAATACCGAGGCTTAATACACTCGATAAAACTGGTCAGCTCGAAAGAGGCAGAGTCTGTATCTTAAGTACTTCAAGTGGCCAGTAAAGGGACTGCAAGTTCGGGGCTAGGGTAACCACTCAGATCTGAGTTCAGTATAAAGCTCCAAACAGAATCGCGAGTTGTGGTCAACGGAGTACGGGCATTCAGACCCATGGGACCCATCTGGATAGCCTGAGTTAAAGTCCGCTTTGTGAAGAGAAGCATCATACCAAAGCAACAGTTGGTGCTAGCGGAACGAAATCAGCTTGTGGTGTTTCAGAAAGGAGTACTGCACCATGGAGAACAGTATGGTGAAGGCTGGAAACCAGGAAGACAAGGGGTAAACTATGGATGACACTAAGGATCTAACACAAGTGCACAAAGGTCACAGATAGAGGCCATAAAAGAAGAACCAGGGGAACAATTGGCGGCAAAGGGAGTCTCACGCAACTTACTGGAAGATATTCGTGGTGGTACACTGCAGTATGCAGGTGAGTGACATTACTGATGGTCAAGCCTAAGGTGTATTGTGTATCCGAATTGTCATAACAGACGGATTCCCCCGTACCTACTGGGTACTTAAAACGAGAGTGGACCACATGGTGCGACGGTTTGCGTACCTCATTGACCCATTGAGCTATACTGGGTGATGCCTCCGGGCACCTTGAGAGCTACTCTTAACAGGTTGGTCAATGGTAAGAGGTTAGACAAACCCAGTCTCCTAGTGCTCGAGGTTGGAGGTTTGAAATGGGATGGCGTACATTTCTGTAAAACTAAATCATTGCTACCTCTCCGCTGCCTTGCGGACAGGCTTTTGAGCCAAAGGCTTTGGATGAGGACCCTAATCGTCCTCCTGTCTAGGTCTGGGCGCCCTGGCAGTATCTCAGCCCACATTCAACCACGATATTTTCTTCAAACATAAACTTCATCCTGCATTGGCCGTCGCGCACATTATCAAGGGTCACCCTATCTGCTGCATACAACAGGGAGGATAAGCGAAAACATGCTGTCGCTGGGGCCTCCCTTCTTTCTTTACAATCAGTTGCTTTTACTTTCATCCCGACCCCATTTCTAACTTTCCTTCCATAATTCCCAGTTTAAATGAGAGCAACCGAAGTGCCACTGGAGTAGAACCATCTGCAGCCACCATCCTACAGCACCTATCGGACGCCTATCGGCAAAAGTCCCTTATAAGGTCCCGCTAGCCCCTTTCCATTGCGACGCCCAACATTCGCACTCTAAGACAAACAGGCCGCACTCACACGCACCTTGGACACATTGGGTATTGATTTGTGTTGCGTGTCCGAAACTAGGAGCAATGACCCTAGCGGGGTTGCTTAACTAACTGCACCCGGCTTATCCTCTCGTTATTGGTTGCACGCATCCGGAGACGCCGATGCGGCACTCACGGGTCAAGCTGGTTTAGGTATCATTCTAAGCTCCAAGGCTGAGTCATCGTTGGTTGATTGGATTCCGGTGAACAGCCGTTTATGTGCAGCCCGTTTGACGACATCAGCTAAGGTAAATTCGCGAAGTAAAACAAAACGCTGTTTGTTTGTGATTCCTGCTTATGCTCCCACCGACTGCAGTTCTAATGCAGTCAAGGACACTTTCTATCACGAACTGAACGGGCTAATACGCAGTGCTACGAGTTCAGATATTATAGTACTTGCAGGGGATATGAACGCACAAGTAAGGCGTCTGAGCTCTTCAGAAGCTCAGCTGGGTGGTAAGTATGGACTTAACGCCGAAAGGACTGACAACGGCGAGCGTCTGCTGCAACTGTGTGCGGAGCACCAGTTGTTTCTTACTACCATTGCTTTTAGACACAGTGGGCGCCGAAGTGCCACTTGGCGTCCACCTGTAGCTGGTCAGCGATGGACCCAAATTGACCACATAAGTTACAGGTGGCGCGGTTCTATTCTGGATTGCCGCGCGTACTGGAGTACCTGTGTCGACTCTGATCATGCCTTGGTGCGCTGTCGTTTCTCCATGAACTTTACCGGAAGGCGCATAAAGCGTCTCCCCCGATTGGCAACGAAAAAATTGTCCCAGCCCTCGGTCAGGCAAGCCTATCAAGAAGCACTGCATAGCGAACTCTCGCTGTCTTGCCCTAATGACACTGAACTTCAGTGGAATAGGATCTCGGCCGCTATGCACGACGCAGGAGCATCTGTTTGTGGCACTATCAGTCGTCACCGCACCAGTCACTGGATATCCGAGAGGTCCGTGAACCTTTTGGAAGCTAGAAGGCACCTCCCGGCTGGTTCTGAGCACAATGTGACCAGACGGGCTATTAGGCGTGAACTAAAGCGGAGCCTACGTGCTGACAAGGAAGCCTGGTGGACCAGTCGGGCTCGAGAAATGAAGGAAGCAGGAGCAGTAGGCAATTACCGCAAGCTCTTCCAGCTAATCCGCACCACTGGTCCCAGAAAACCAGGCGTCAGTGAGACAATCAGAGACAGCGCGGGTGCGCTGATACACAATAAGGAGCGCCGTATGGCTCGTTGGGCTGAGCACTTTGAAGATCAGTTCAGCTGGCCCCCTGCTTCCGGACCTCTTCCTACTAAGGTGATGCAGGACGTGCCATGGACGGTTAGCTTAGAACCTCCATCGGAGGCCGAGATCTGAAACGGGACCACAGCCCTCAATCGTTTTCGTGCCGCTAGCCCGGATTCCCTCCAACCTGCACTAGTTAAGGATGGAGGTGAGGTCCTCTGTAAAGCACTGACCTCCCTATTCGAATGTATCTGGAAGGAAGGGAGTGACCCGACTAATTGGAGCGAATCGATTATAGTGGCAATATACAAGAAGGGCAGTCGCACAGACTGTGCGAACCACAGGGGTATTAGCCTAACGCCAGTTGTGACAAAATTACTGGCCTCGATTATCGTTCGTCGCCTCACTGCAGAACGGGAATCTCGGATTAGGGAAGAGCAGGCCGGTTTTCGCCCAGGACGTGGCTGTATAGACCATATATTTACTTTGCGGCAGGTGCTTGAGCAGCGCCACGCATACCGCAGACAGACAATAGCTGTGTTCCTCGATTTCAAGAGTGTGTTCGATTCAGTCGATCGATCGATCCTGTTCGAAATACTTGCGCGGAAAGGTGTTCCCACGAAATATGTGAACATCCTTCGTGCTCTATACTCGAACACTACAGGCCGCGTCAGGGTCTATGGTGTCCTATCGGCTAGCTTTCCGACCACAAGTGGCGTTCGTCAGGTTTGTCCAATTTTCCCACTTTTGTTCAATTTCGTCGTGGATTCTATCATGGAGTGTTCCCTTGCGGAATCTCATGATGTAGGCGTTGAAGTGCTGCCTGGTAAAAGATTAGTTGATCCTGATTATGCCGACGATATCATCTTGCTTTTCGACGATTTTGCGGCGGCGCAATCAACCCTGAATAGCTTGTCTAGAGCGGTCCCATTATTTGGTATGCACTTCGCACCTTCAAAGTGTTGCTGCAGGATCACCAGCCACTTGATGACCCCTTGACGCTTGCTAACGAGGAACTCGAGGTGGTTGATCAATTCACTTATCTCGGCAGCTATATCAGCTACGATCGGCGCATAGAAACTGACGTCAGCTCACGCACTGCAAAGGCCAGAGCTGCCTTCGTAAACTGGCGTCATATTTGGCGACAGAAGGAAGTTTCCCTTCGTCTGAAAGACCGTGTATACAAGGCCACAGTAAGGGCCGTTCTGCTCTATGGGAGTGAGACTTGGTCCCTTCGATCTGAAGATCTGAGACGCCTTCAAGTCTTTGATCATCGTTGTTTGCGAAGCATTGCTGGTGTCGGATGGTACCAGCGTGTCCACAACGATCATGTGCGTAGGAGAGTACTAGGTAGTGATAAGCATGCTAACTCCCTAGAACAACAGATAGCACTGAATAAGTTGCGTTGGCTTGGGCACGCGCTATGTATGCCTGGTCACCGTTTATCTAGGAGGGCCTTGTTCAGTCTACCTAGTGCAGGGTGGCGCAAGGCTCGAGATGGACAGAAGTTGACTTGGCAGCGGAAAATGAAGTCACTGACGACCAAACTGGGTGCCGTTGGCCCGTCTCGCCTTCCGGGCTGTAGTCCACGTGACTCACCTTGTGCTTGACTCGAGACTTTACAGGACATGGCTCGCAACCGACACAAGCGGCGCATCTGCTACAGTCTCCTAATCGGATTGACTGTTTAAAGTGTGTTTGGTGCTGAGTTATCTGCGGGGTAATGGCTGATCATAACGCGTGGCAGTGAAAGCCGCAAGGAAGCTGTCTCGCCGATGTCGCCTTATCTTTGCACGTTAGTCATCTGTTTGTGATGGTATGTTGTTAACACAAGGTGTAGGCGCCTTGACCCAGAATGTTTGCTTAGGGCATTAAGGTTTTCAGGTAAGTCCCCCTTCTCTCCCTCTTCTTATTCTTTATTTCATAGGTCCTCGTGGTTGTATGGCAGCGAAGCATCAGTTCAAATGACTGATGTACTGCTGTTGATGATGATGATGATGATTTGACTGGATAGTGTTGGGTGGTACACATGGGACCATTAGACAGAATCCCAGCCGAGCTGTTGCTGGCTGAAGAGCGCAAACAAGGAGGTGCAATTTGAAGAGCGAGGGGCGTCAGAAGAAATGTACATGGTGTCGAGAAGGAGACTGAGAAGCGTCAGTAGTGCATTGCAACGTTGGGAATTTAGACGCAAGGTCATAAGTGGTAAATACATCCAGTTGTCAGAAAAGAAGTAGCAAAATTCTGGGTATTATCAGGTGGGGGCAAAGAACGCGACAGGCAACCACCATCTGGAGCCGGAGTTGC